GAGAGAGAGAGAGAGAGAGAAAGAGAAAGAGAAAGAGAGAGAGAAAAAGAGACATGTGGACTGACAAACTGAGAGACAGAATTACACACATGCACACACGGAGAGAGAGAGAGAGAAAGAGAGAGAGAGAAAGAGAGAGAGAGCAAGATTGATAGGTATCTAGAGAGCGACATAGAGGGAGACACATAATATTAAATGAAAGGTTGAATGGGGATGAACGAGAGGGAGGGGAATTATTCATGCAGACGAACCGGAACAGACAGAAAAATACGAATACAAAGACATTACACTTTTCTCCCCGTCTTTATGTCTTGAGTGACCTTTCATCTACAGACCTGCACCCACACAGTTTAGTGTCAGAGATTTGTTTACACGATGATTCCCCTCAGTCCATGAGACATCTATACTTTGTGTTCATGCCTTGTGATCTTCCACCAAATGTGCAAGGACACCATGAATAATAAATGAACTGGATCAAAATGGAAAAGTTTCAGAAACTCTTGAATATGTCGCATAATGTGTCATCAATTTCTTGAAAGGAGACCTCGGCGTTATTGTTGTTGTTTTTTCTTTTATCCATTGAAACAACAATCTTTTTCAGAGTGAAGAACCCGTTGAAGAAATAAATTGCGCAAAATGAAAAAAAAAACCTCGAACAAAAAAAGAAAGGATTGAAATGACAAGATGAATACATCATTCAGTGTGTGCCGAGTACGTCCCATTGTGGTAGTCCTCCATTTTTTCATTCTCTCCCTGCTCTTCCATTTTTCTTTACCCCTCCTTCTCTCCTCTCTCCTCCCATTTCTGTTCAGCCCTTCCACCCATCTCTCTTCGTTCTCTTTTCCATTGCTCCTCCCTTTTCCATATCTCCTCCCTCTCTTCTTCTCTCATCCTCCATCTCTCCTCCTCCCTCCATCTTTCCAACACCATCCCTCTATCTACCCTCCTCTTCCCTGATTAACTCCTCACTACCACCATCTCTACCTCCTCCTTTTCACCCCCCTTTTCTTTCTTTCCTTTATCTTCTCCCCCCCCACC